TGTTTCAAAATGAGCAAGGGGGTCAGCTGTGCTTCTGGCACGGCGAAAACCGAATTGGGAAGGAGAGAGAAGATTGTGAGATTCAAGATACCACATTAAGCGGAAGTTCACCATTCGCTCTAATAGTTTGCACAAGCAGCTAGTTAGTGCGATAGGGCGATAGTCTTGAGGGAGGGCACCCGATTTATTGGGTTTCAGGAAGGGAAGGATAAGAGCTTCTCGCCAATTAGAAGGAAAATTTCCTGATGTCCATATGTGGTTGTAAATTTTTAATAGGAAGGATAAGGAGGAAGATGGGAGTTGTCGGAGCATACGGTAGTGAATACCGTCAGGGCCTTCATGAGTGTTGCGGCACGATTGTAGGGCAGTAATGAGTTCAGAGGAAGAAAATGGAGCATTATAGGACTCAGCGGAGGATGGGGTGAAGGTAATGGGGGTACGTTCTCTGGTGGTCTTGATAGAAGAGAAGTGTGGAGAAAGGTGAGAGCCACTACTGACCTGGCTGAAATAATTACCCAGTTCATTAGCGACTTGGAGAGGATCAGAAATGAGGGTATCTCGAATATGGAGGACGGGGGCAGGATGGGGGGGATGTTTGCCTGATAGTTTATGGATTCGTCGCCATACATTTGAGATAGATGTAGAGGATGTAATTGATGAAACATAATTTCGCCAGCTATTTGTTTTACTATTCCGGATTGTACGACGAAGACAGGTAGATGCTCTTTTAAAGGAGATAAGGGCTGATAGTTGATTTGGAGTACCTCTCTTGTAGCGGTAACTGTTCCAGGCTGCACGTTTTAAGCGAAGTGCTTTAGTGCAATCAGAATTCCACCATGGAACACATTTAGAGGTATATGGTCTTGAGGTTCGAAGGATAGCTGTATGTGCAGCTCTTAAGACTGTAGTTGTGAAACATTGTATCATTTCTGAAATGGAGGTGAGGGAGGATGGAGGGGTATGAATAGCAGAGAGTGAAGTGAAAGTATGCCAGTCGGCTCTATCAAAGCACCAGCGTGGGGAGTTAGGAAGTGGTACGTATGAAGTAGGAGAAAGGAGAACTGGAAAGTGGTCACTATAGGGAAAGTGGTCTAAGACTGACCAGTGGAAATCTATATGAAGAGAAGGGGAGCATAGAGAGAGGTCAATGCATGAAAAAGATTGCGTGCGTGTATCAAAGTGTGTGGGGCGATCTGAATTTAGAATAGTAAGGTCAGCTGTGGAGAGGAAGCGCTCTAGAGATCGGCCTCGGGAGTTGGTAATAGAATCACCCCAAAGAGTGTGGCGGCAGTTAAAGTCGCCCACTATGAGGAAAGGTGGTTGAAGTTGGGAAATTAGATTTTCAAAAGCAACAAAGTCAATGGGGTGGGAAGGGGAGAAGTAGACTGAAATCACTGTGATCCAACGATGAAGGAAGATACGAATAACTGTGCAAGGGACATTGGTTTGAAAGGGTGGTGTGACATAAGGTGTTTTCTGATTGATAAGTATGGACGAGACATAAAGGGAATGTGGGGAAGAGACAAAATGATAATTGGGGATTGGTATTGGAGGATGTGTAAGAAAGGTTTCTTGAAGGCATACAATAGATGGGTTATAAGAGGAAAGGATATGACGAAGGTCAGGTCTGTGGGAGTGGAAACCGCGAATATTCCAATGAAGGATAGTTATACTTTCGTTGATTTAGTGTTATAGATTGTGGTACGTGTTGGAGACTTTGAGGGGGAAGCAGCTAGAGGGTGGGATAAGGACTGAGAGGTTTGAGATGGGAGAGATGTGGGAGTTGGTGTTCTATCAGGAGGGGTATTAGGAGATGGAGGGTCTGAGGAAGGGGATACTTGTGACATAAGGGATTCACGTGTGTATCCAGGAGGGAGTGGAAGGGATAGAGGGGATGGTGGGAGGGTTAATGTGGGCTGGGTTGGGGTCGGGGTCGGGGGGGATGGGCTGTGTTGGGAGGGGGTAGGAGGATAGGGTGTAGGGGGGATATCGTTAGGAGGGGGATGGATATCAGCAGTTACTTGGAGTGTGGAAGGAGCAGGGGTTGTAGGTTGAGTGTCAGTTTGCATTAAGTAATCTTGAATATTTTCAATAGTTTCTTCTGAGGAGTTGGTTGGGGAGTTGTGGGGGATAAAGGATTTCTTGTGAGGGGGGGAGGAGAGGACTGGTGTGTCAAGAGTAGGGGCAAAGGATGGTGGAGGTGATTGTGTGGTAGGGGAAGAGGGGGTGGAACGTTTGTTCTGTCTGTTACGTGGAGTGCGAGGAGTGAGAGGGGAAGGTGTTGGGGTTGTAGTGGTGACTGGAGTATCTGTAGTAGAGATTGGAGTTTCTGGGTTTAGGATGGCAAAAGAGTTTGACTGGGGAAGGTAGGAGGTAGAAGTGGGGGGGTTAGATGTAGGAGGGGTGGGTTTAGGAGAAGTGTTAGAATGAGCAGTATTACTGGAGTAAGGAGTAAGAGAGAATCCACGTCGACGTGCTTCCTGTCTGGCTTCACGCAGTGTGAGTCCAAGTTTGAATCTGAGAGTTGCTACCTCAGATTCAAATTTGTAGGTGGGACAGCCCCTATAAAATACATTATGGGGGCCGCCACAGTTGGCACATGTGCGTGATTGTGCAGAGCAGTTAGATCGGGTATGGCCAGGTTGGGCACATAATGGGCATCTGGCTGTGGAATGGCAATGTTTGGCTGGGTGTCCTAGACGCCAACAATTTTGGCACTGACGTGGAGGAGGTTGGTATGGACGAACAGGGAGGGATTCTCCTCCTATGTAGACGTTAAAGGGAAGGTCATGTCTACGGAAGGTAATTTTGGCTATGTTAGTGGGTTTCTTTCGATGACCTCTGGGGGGGATGGAGTAGCATTGTACTGATGTTGCATCGTAGTCTGTGAGACAGGCAAGTAGATCTCCACAATCTGACCAATCTTTGTCATAGATTGGGCAATTTGCTGGTGAGATTGAGACTGTTCCGGTGCAAGTATTGAGGGTTGGATGGGGTTCTGCTAGGATGGGGTTACCATATAGGTCAGTTAGTTTTGTTAATGCTATAGCTTGGTTTTCAGATGTTACTGTTACAAGACGGGAGCGGTCGGGTCGGCTACGGAAAGAGACTTTACCTACTTGTTTTTGGAGGCATTGTTGGAAGAGAAGGGTGTTGTCAGAGTAGGGAGCTGTGGGAGGGATCACGAAAAATCGGTCCCATTTGGCTGCACTGAAGAGAGTATTCAAGATTGTTTTAGAGATAGGGGTGGTAGAAGAGCGAGGGCGTGACGAAGATGGAGTAGTGTTGATGGAGGTAGTGTTATGGAGAGGTGGGCTATAAGGCTGTAAGGTATTAATAAGAGAGGATGGGGTGGTTGATGTTGGAGGTTGTGGGGGTAGAGGTGTTGAAGTTGGGCATGCTGGGAGAGTGGAAATGTTCCTTGAGGGTTGATTGTTGGCTACTGTACTAGTAGGCATTGGTGAAGGGGTAGTTATTGCAGTGTTCGGAGCCGTGGTCAAAGGAGAGCCTGGGGTCGGGGAATCGGGTGGGTTTACTTCGTTGGGGCTATTTGATAAAGGGGCAAGCCTCATTGCCCCTAACAGTGGGGATATATTTTCATTACTGGCCATGGTAAGCCTGGATTATGTTGGGGATAAAAACAATCCACCCCTCAGGGTTCCCTTGAGGGGTAAGGGCTAGATACCTAAATCAGGGGAATACCGTGCCCATGGCTCCCTCAGGCCGTTCAGGACTGGCACAAAGTCAGCCTTTCATCCTTTCAGCACGGCTCTCACACCTTAGGAGGTGGATAGCAGAAGGGTTTGGTGAAGGGACAGAAACAAAAGTGGGAAGGGAAAAAAAAGACCATGCATAATTAGTTGAGTCGAGGGCTGAGTCCCAAGGTTGGGGAGTTCCCCATCATTGGGTCCCAGTCTCCGCCTCCTAAGCCCCCCCACGACAACAACAGGCAAGGGATTGGGGGGGCATTTGCGGCGAAGTGGGCTGTGAAGCAACAGTGCTTGGCCAAAATGCCAATGTAATCTTGGCAATATTGGAAGAGGACTTTTGACGGATCAAGGTGAGAGCAAGTAGAGAGGAGGGTGCACCAGCAGTGGTCGAAGCCGTGATCAAAAGAGAGTCAAGGATCAGGAAATTAGACTGTGTTTAGGTGTTCATGATCAGGGCTGATGCAGAAGGAAACTTTATCTACTTGTTCTTGGAGACATTGTTAGAAGAGTGTATCATAAGAGGCGTTGTAGGGGATTCACACAAAAACATAATGCCAATTGGCTGGTTTAAAAAGAGTACTCAAAAGAAAAAATGGTAATAAGGGATGAGGGACAGAAAATTAATAAAATGGAGTGGAAGATCTTGGGAGAGACGAAAGGATGCATTCTGAAGGTTGACTAATGGCCGGGTGGATGATTCAGAATGGATAAAGTTGACTTCAAGTATTGAGAAGGTAGTAGTAGCAGTGATCGGAGAAGTGATTAAAGCAGAATCTGTGGTCGGAAAACTAGAGAAGTCAAATTCAATGAATGCTACTTGATAAAGGGACAAGAGCCAGTGCTCGTAATGAGGGCACTAAATCTTCATTATTGGCCACTGGTGACCCTGGAATATGTGGGGAAGAGAAACGGTCTACCCCTCAGGGTCCCCATGGGGTAAGGGCTAGATGCCTAACCAAGGGAATACCGTGCCCACGATTCCCGAGGCCGTTCATAACGTGAACAGGAGAGTTTGGAAAAGAGAGGAAAATGAAAGAAAAGCCAATGCACAAAATTGGCTGAGGCTCACGGTCTTGGAGGTCCCCAACAGCAGGCCTCAGCGTCCGTCTCCTAAGCCCCGTCGCTAGTGACCTTAGCTGTAGACACGGCAGATAATTCTAAATAATCAATCCTATGCCCCGCCATGGCAACAACTGGTATGGGTTGGGGATACGTAGGTGAACATAGTTGTAGTAAAATGTTCAATATTAATCATGTACTTATCCTTCACAGGTGAATAAAACACAAAACTTGTAATTCAAATATATAACGTGTTAATTACATGAATGTTACAAAACCGTATTTACATTTGTATTTCATATATATATATATAGCTATTTATAGTGTGCTCTGTACCTAACATAGTGGACCTTTCTGTAAATGCATACCAAGCTAATTCTCATGATGTTTCTACACAAAATAATAAGATACAGATTCTTCAGTCTGTTAATAATGTCGTCTCACCAAATTCAAATCATATCTGGGTCTGTTACAAAAAGCAGTCTTATATATATAACTATTCCCATGGCAAATAAATGTCAAGTAAAAATAATACATCTTAGGTATTTACAAATGACACTTTTTGAACTAAGGATTCCAATGACGGGTATATCTAAGTACTGAGAAAATATTTCCAGTTTATTACCATCAGCAAAGTCTGTAAAACCAAAAAAAAAACTACATTATCTCTCTTCTTTCTGCTTCTTTTCCATCCAATGATTTTTTTTCCACTTTTTTTTTATCAAATTGCCAAAAAGAAGCTGTGATGTTATACTTTCCGGCACCTGGCTTGGATACACTTGGCTCAGTGCATGTGTTTCAGGAATGATACTTGGGAGAATGAATGTGTTCCTGATACAGGCGTAACACTGCACTATGTAGAAAACAATGACAAAATTGCAATTTCACTTTTGTTTACATTTTGCACTGGGAAACCATACACGCATTACGGAAGATACCGACAGAACCCAAAACTGCCCATAATATCAAAACCAGTATTCTTTAATGATAGACAAAAATATTTAAAACGCATTCTGCGGGCAGTTCTTCCTGTTGTGTCCCTCTTCGCCGCAAACGCCGCACCTCCGCTTCCGCGGTCCTTCGCCCGGCGCCTTCCGCTTCGTCCCGCCGCCGCCGCCCCGCCCTCGGCCGCCGCCGCGACTTTGACTCGACCACTGACTGCCGCCTCCTGAAGGGCAAGGAATCGCGTGTTAGATTTCCGTAGGCAAATCTTGAGCTCCTTGCATCTTTCCTGATTTCAGTGGAGATGGGTATGTGACAATGTGTGGATTCAAGTGAGGTTGTGTGTGTGTGTGTGTGTGTGTGTGTGTGTGTGTGTGTGTGTGTGTGTGTGTGTGTGTGTGTGTGTGTGTGTGTGTGTGTGTGTGTGTGTGTGTGTGTGTGTGTGCATGGCCATATGTGCCCACACAAAAGCTCCTTTCTCTGCTTTGTTCAGTAATGATAAAATATTTAGATATTTTTTAATGACTTATTAATATGAATCACCTCTTTGTCTGTCTGTCTGTCTGTCTGTCTGTCTGTCTGTCTGTCTGTCTGTCTGTCTGTCTGTCTGTCTGTCTGTCTGTCTGTCTGTCTGTCTGTCTGTCTGCCTCTTAGGAACTCAACATCCACTCACCTCCTCCTCCTCCTCCTCCTCCTCCTCCCCAGGAACTCATACCACCACCACCTCCTCCTTCATCCACTTCGTCCGCCCACTTGAAGAAACGGCACTGCTCGCTGCGGTCCTTGCTGCATACGTAGAACTCCCGCCCTTTGTTCGGCCCTTCCTTCTGCACCGTCAGTCTTCAAGGGAACATTGGAGTTAATAGTACTTTACCTTAAATCTAACAACTATAAAACTCAAAGGATAAGCCCTCCTTCTGGAACAGTGTCTCCCAGAACAGATGTCACTAGAGCTGTACGATTGCTTTAAACCCAAAGGAGACAAAAATGCTTAATCCAAACTTTGAAAAAAAACACTTAACCCTTCTTAGTTATAAATACATCACCAATCTAATTATCAAGATTGTTAGTACATTTAGTTAGTACATGATTTATTATCATGTCAATATTTTAACAGAAGTCCACTTACAAGATCCTATCTACTCAATGCACAATCTTTTATCTTGATCGGAGTGCAACACGAATTCCAGGGATAATTATCATTAAAGGATGCTATCAATTAATACACTTCACTCTCACCCACCTTTTGCCTGGAATACTGCAGTTGCACACCACGGCGCCCTCCCAATCGGGTATGTCATCGGCTCCTGAAAGATAGGATGTACTCTTATGTGCCTCTGCTGTCACATCTATATCAAAGTTTATATTCATATCAGTCTATATTTATATTTATATAAAGTATGCATCCATATATGTGCATAAATGGATGCATACTGTAATACATTTATATGTAATACATATAAATACATCATATACACTCTCTCTACAAATGTACTGTGATCTATGGAATATGACATGCACTCTTTTGAAATTTGACTTTCACAATCAATCTGTGCCCTAAACTGTTAAGCCTAGTTCAGACCATAATAGACTATATTGGAATAA